ATGTCTCACACGGACGAAATTATAATCTATCTGGATATTAGTGTATAAATAAGGACATGAACCGACAAGAACAATGTCTTTAAATTATGGCAATCGTGAGTAACGGACAAAAGGAAAAAGAAAATTACTACAAGTTACTAACACAGAAGTTTTCAGGTAAAATAAAAAAAAATAAAGATAAAGAAAGAAATAGTATAGTGATTTTACAAGCGTAGCTTAGATGTGGCACAAGGCCGAAAGTATGTGACACCCAGTGAGGATCGGGGTATCCAAGAAATAGAGAAATAATTAGAGAGGAAGAAAAATAATGTTGACATTGTATCATTTTGTCCCCTGATTTCGAAACAAAAAATAGACCGTCGCTCATCACTCTCTTTCTTCCTCTCTTTCGCTATCTCTTCATCTTTCTCTCATTTTCTCTCACTCTCTATGACTTTTACTCCCACTTCTTCATGCCCTCGATTTCACGCTCTATCTTTCTCTCCTTTCACCCTGTCACTCACTCCCCCTTTCACTCTTTATTTCTTACACTTTCTTCCTTTCTCTCTCTCCAATATATTTCTTTCTCACTCTTTCTTTCTTCATCTTTTTCTCTATCATTCTCATTCACTCTTTTCCTCTCTCTTCCTCTCTTTCAATCACATTCTCTATTTCACCCTCTCTCTTTCTCTCTTTCTGTCACTTTCTCTCTCTTCCACGTCTCTCGCTCTTTATTTCTTTCATTCTCTATCTCTCTCTCTCATCTTTTCTTTCTCTCTCTCTCTCTCTTTCCTCTTTCCTGTTTATATATATATATATATATATATATATATATATATATATATATATATATATATAATCCTCTTCTTCTCCCTCCAGCTATGGGTAAATAGCAGGACAGACTAGGTTCTATAGCCTTGGATGGCAACTGGTCTACGAGAAGGACAACTCTGAATTGTGGCACGTAGTGCACCAGGTCTCTGTATTCAGCCCTTGAAAAAGTGTGGTTGGTTATGCAAAGAGCCTTCAGCACTATAATCAAATCTCATGTGCTTTTGTCAGGTTGTCGGTTTCCTGAAAACTGATCTGCTTGATTCTCATACGCCGAATTCGACGGGAGAGTCAAGTATATATATACATATACATATATATATATATATAACGTCATCCACAGACAGACTGTTTCGCTGTTTCACAGCTCATCAGTGTGACTAGACATCCGGTTGCATCTAGCTAGGATCGAAACCCGACTGAATTGGTGTTAGTCGGAGATTCTAACCATTAAGCCGTCGGTAGGGATGAAAGTGGATTTTTAGCATATTTATTTTTAGAAACACGCCCGGTGACCGACAGTGATTCAATTCGCATTAGTCTTATAGCTAAGGAAGAGTCCATTAGCTATAAGACTATACCCCCACGACCATATATATATATATATATATATATATATGGTCGTTGGGGGTATAGTCTTATGGCTAAGGGATAAATTCCACCACGGAATATGTGATCGAGCGGCGCTATATAGAGTCTAATTCGCTACCTCTTAGTCACCGAGGCGCGTTGGTACAGTTGGTTTGCCTCAGAGCGTAACGGTTCTCGGTAGTGGATTCACACTGATGATAAATCCCAAATATAGAACGAAACAGCCGTCAAGGGCTTTCTGCATTCTTTTGGGGTTTCTTTTAGACTCGATGAATTACTAAATTATGATTATCTCAAATCCTCCTAATAATTTCTACCCCTTATATATATATATATATATATATATATATATACATATATATATATATATAGTGTGTGAGTGTGTGTGTGTGTGTGTGGTTGATTTGTAGATTTGAAGGTTCGACTCCGGCGAGAAATATTTCCTGGCGCGGCACAGAGAGCCAACTTTCCTTGCGGTGGACGAAGCTATTGACTCAATGTATTCGTTCCATCTCAGGTCAGCGGACAATGAGACCGAGTAGTCGCAAAAAGGTGCTCTCGTGGAGTTGAGCGTCAGACATTCTAATGGGGGGGGGGCAGGGATGGTTCTCTCTGGTAATAGAGAGCAGCTTTGTTTTTGAGGCATTAAAGTTAACCAGCCAATACCTGTCCCAGTCCACAATCGATTGGAGGTTCTTTTCGAGACGAACGGCCAGGTTAGTTTTGTCGACGACACTAGATTTGTTTTTGAGGCAGGAGTAAATAGTAGTCTCGTCCGCATAGATGCCTACTTGGGAACCTATGACATAGTTATTGTAAGACTGTGATATATAACATAAATGAATGGAATCTTCCGTTTATGTAAATAAGCGGATATCGGCGAACATAAGGAGAGTTAGCATTAGGTTTTAGCCGCGCGCTAATCTCTTAGTGCTTGTCGAAATCTCTACTTCTGGCGGAGAGGAACCTAGGTGAGGCTATTCCAAAGAGCAGAGTCTCGTCTGTATAGGTAGACAAACCCGACCCCATTTATACGGGGGTCTACGGCAAATATTTGCCCATGGTCTACGGGCTCGGAAAAACAAACAAACACGTGAAACCGGTCTTGTTTCAAATCCCGCTCCCTGCAAAGCTCGGGTAAATACCGAGTTAGCGTTAGGTCTATTGCTAGGTGTACCTTTGTTTAGTAAACCTTCTATTTCATAATTTACCTACAAGTCTGTCTTCCTTATTTCTGGTATTGTTATGGAACTTTACCCATAATAACATAATAGACAATTCCATACGTAATAAATACTGCGCCTCAAGAGGAAGCAGAGAGTTCAGTCTGAAGTCTGGAGTGAGGTCCGTCAGGAGTCTGTCAGTTAATCAGAGCGAGCGAGTCAGTCAGTCGAGTTAGAAGCAGTCCGAAACAGAGTCGCGTTCAGACAATTACTACTAAACCTGATTGTTCATATTAACACTTCTACTTCTCTGTATATATTCCTATTTGTAATATATATGTGTTATTCCATATCTGTGTTCGAGTTCTTCTTTATTGGTTCTACCGTGGTACAAGGAACCGGACCATAACAGGTATTAAAACCTATATGTACAATTTTACAGTGCTTTGACCCCAGTTTGAATGTTAACCATTTGCCCATAGCTGAGACCCTAACAGGTGCTACCACCCCGGCTCAGGGTGGACCTGCGAACACCAGCAATTAAGTGGTGGTTCCACGCTCCTCAAAACCTTCTGATCAGAGATTTATTTTTCTCTGTAATCTCAAGCTTTCTGTTATGATTTTAATTTGTGCGCTGAGTCCTTCCTCCTCCCGGTTTGTTTGTTGCATGTATTTTATTTACCTGTTTATGATACTTTCCCGGTTGTTTTTCTCTTGGTTAACACAACCTAGTAAGTAATCCGCCATTTTCCATGCTGATCCAAACTTCAGTATATCATTTGAGTGTTAAATGCTCTACGATTAACTTCCTCATTATGTGATATTGAAATGTCAATTGCCTCGTATACATTCTAATTACTCGTGTTTATCCTAATTCTTTTACAATTCGCCCGATGAATTTATTTGTGAAAATCCTTTTTTTGTAGCTCGTATATTGTTGTGTATTCCGAGATGAAATTCGGTCTCCAATGAATGACAAACGCAGGAATGAAATATAACAAATAAATGTATTTACATAATAATACAATTGGTAATACTGTTAGTAAATCCAGAAACGTGGTAAGTAGCAATAATAATATATATATACAGTCTGGTAAATTCAGTCTCGAAGTAGAACAGTGACTTCTACAAGCGGTTACCTCACATTATTACTCTACCTCCAACTCCATCACAATCTCTCTCTACTCTGACTGACTCTTGGTATTTAACGGCAGCAGTCCAAGTACACAGAAAGAAAAACTAAGAGATGGGCACAGTTGTAAGATGAGGACCAGGCTAAAGGTACTTGCTTGACCCGTTAAATGTAGGTAAAGGTACCGTGAGAATATAGACCGACCAAATAGGTTAGAGCCACCGATAATGCAGGCATTCTAACCCCTCCAGAAAAAAATTACTCTGTATAGTGCAACCGGTCACCGAAAATGCATAATATTTAACCTCTTCAAAAATTTACCTGTGTATAGTGCGGCCACCTCTTTTTTGTGTAAAATAACATACAATAAAATCTTGTGACTTCTATTCTCATTAAGACTTATCTTTAGTCACCGTAAAAAATGAAAATATCCTTATATTTATTTATCACCTCATGAAGTTCATTTTAGTGACGGTACGATAATTTAGATGCTGGCCTGTCTTTTCTTCCAGGAATAACAAATTATAAAATAGTTAGCCCCTCATTATTAATAACGATGTCTACGTATTTGAATGATAAAGTTTATTCTTGTTGCGTTAGCACCAGGATTCATTCCATCTATAAAAATAAGCCATTTCTTTCAGAATCACTTAATATATATATATATATATATATATATATATATATATATATATATATATAATATGTAGCTATATTAATAATGAGCAAAGATCGATCAATAGATAGATAGATAGATAGATAGATAGAGTTTAGAGACTGAGATAGATAGATAGATAGATACATAGATAGATAGATAGATAAAGTTTAGAGACAGACATAGATAGATAGATAGATAGATAGATAGATAGATAGATAGATAAAGTTTGGAGATAGATAGATAGATAGATAGATAGATAGATAGATAGATAGATAGATAGATAGATAAAGTTTAGAGACAGAGATAGATAGATAGATAGATAGATAGATAGATAGATAGATAGATAGATAGATAGATATGAACCCAATCAGATATAAACAGATAAAGATACATATGAACAAACATAGACATAGATAGATATGAAAAGAATAGATAGATATGAACAGACTCAGATAGACAGATAAATAGATAGACAGATAAATAGATAGACAGATAGATATGAACATACTCAGATATAAACAGATTAATATAAATATGAAAAACATAGACATACATAGATAGATATGAAAAGAATAGATAGATAGATAGATAGATAGATAGATAGATAGATTTCATGTTACAGGATCGAATACATAAAATGAGAAGCATGTGAGCTTTTTGATTAACAAATTTACATATTGTATTTTCATTGGAAATTAAATTAGGTTTCAGCGTTTTGCTAATTTTTCCTCAAAAATCAGAAAAATATGATGTATTGAAAAATTGCAAAATAAATCCTTTGTTCAAAATTAGTATCTGCTTTAATGTAAGTGAAATCAGACAACAAGTTTGATGGGATTCATACAATCAGCAGAATAATAGCATATTTTTAGTATTTTAATCAAACTTTGTCTTATACACACAGACGCACACACGCATGCACACAGACGCACATGCACACACACACACACATATATATTTAGAAATATAAATATAAAAAGTGAACATAGAAGTCAACACTTAGAGGCGACAGTCTGTTTCATGCTAGCATGAAACAGACTGTCGCCTCTAAGTATTACTTCTATGTGCACTTTATATTTACACCTCTATCTCTGATATTGAGCACTTTATGCCATAAATATAATGCATCTTATGACTATATATAATGCATCTTATGACTATATTTCTTCATATATATATATATATATATATATATATATATATATATATATATATATATATATTTATTTAAAATATGATTCCAAATCGCTAAATATTTTTGAAATAAATAATTATATTTATGCTCTACTTTTGCATTGAGCACTATTTTAAAAAAATAATAACTAAAATACTAAGGGACTTTGGATTATTTACCTAACCATTTCCTTCCTATTTTCTATATATTTTCATATATATATATATATATATATATATATATATATATATATATATATATGATCTCCGTGAGAGCTTCTACTAGCGATGCCATTAGTCTGTGTATAAATATTACCGACGTGGTCGTGGAAAGGAACTTTTGTTGTGGACGCTAATAAAAGTTTACTTTTTTTAATATTGTGGGTTTAATTTTCAGGGGTGATATGGGAGCAGGTTGAGAGTGTCATCAGACAACACATTAACAAATAGTGTAATAGTTATAATAACATTAAACAGTTACTCAGCAGCCATAAGAAAACACTAGCAAAATCAAATTGTAGAAAGTGATTCATTATCTTCGAAGCAATACTTATAGGACAAAAGTGTCCACTATAAATAAAAAAGTTTTAATTTAAGAGACAGGGTACTAAAATGTATATAATAAAATACACAAACCCACATGTCACACTTTTCCATAACAATACTTGCTTACGTTCCAACACTCACCATTTGTCTAGACCTACCCTGACGATTACTTATAAATGTTGTTAGCTTGGCAATATTTCTTCCGAAATGAACTTTGGACAATTTCTGATAGTTTTGTCCTTATCTGAGAAGTCGGTATCGAATCTCGACCGATTTGACATCAGTCGGTAGCGAAAGAGAATTTTTAACGCATTATATACGTGATATATAAACGCCATACCCTCTACATGTCTATCCACCATAGCCAGCAGGGAAAAAAGTTTCGTTGAGGAAACGGTTTAGTCGCAGATGACTAAGCCATATGGAAAGTAATACTGGCTTACATGGTCCCATTCAAACTCATAAAGTAATCTAATATATATATATATATATATATATATATATATATATATATATATATAAACAAATGTTTAGAGGTACAAAATTTATATATAGTTTTAAAAACAAGGAATGTATTGATTTTAATTGTAAAAGTCCCTAAGGCCCTTTCAACCAACATCTCATCAGGAGACAATCGTTGGATCAGCGAAAAGAATATTAACGACAATGAAGAGCAAAAAGAGTGGGGAAACACACTAAAAAAAAGCAACAAGTGTATATATTTGTAACGAGGGAAGGGGAAATAATCGTGTAAATAAATTAGCGAGGGACAGTTAAAATAAAATATCCCCCAACAGATTAAGACACTTTACAAATTCTTTCTGCCGGCAGAGAGAAGGTTTCCTTAATCCCGATTCCAAAATCTTCAAATGATTGTTGGAGTTGCCTGTATGAATAATTTTAAACCACTCTTTTTTAAACGACTTGGCGCAGGCTATATTCTCAACTAAATGCTGAGCAATAGCCGATTCCATATTCCTGGGGGGAATATAGCATATTTTATCTACCTTACCAAGTCGTATTTTGGAAGGTACGTGCTGATTGATTCTAGTTTTCAAATGCAAGGTTGTACGCCCCACATAACCAGCAGCACAGTGGCAATTAAACTCATATACTAAATTACTCAATTTGATGTAGGGCAATACATCCTTGCAAAACGACGGAAACACAGACCTAGTTCGAAAAATGCTACGTAAAGCAACTGATGGGAAACAACCGGAAACCGACTTGCTAACCTGCTTAATTAAGCCCTGACCCCTATCCCCAATCCAGGGAATCTTCAAATACACCGGACATTTAGAAGGCCCCTGGATTTTAGGGGAATGAAATTCCTTAGTCTTCTTACTAATAATATAGTCAATAAGGGCCTCCGGATAGCCGTTACTGAGGAAAATCTCCCTAATGTTTTCAAATTCACGGTCCAATCTAATAGGAGAACAAACTTTAAGCGCTCTATACATCAAGGTTTTAACAAGATTAATTTTCCTTGATGCAGGAGCAAATGAACGCCAATTCAAATAGAGACCCGTAAAGGTGGGTTTACGATAGATGCTTGTAAGAAAACCACCTCTACTGCGTTCAACAAAAACGTCCAAAAAAGGCAGACAGTTGTCCTTCTCCCCTTCCATAGTGAAAGACAAACCATTGTGTAAGGAGTTGAGCTCATTAAAGAACTCAACAGCCTCACTTTCATTAGAAAAAGTTGCAAAAGTGTCATCGACATACCTGACATAAATAAACGGTTTAGACACTTTGCCGAAAAGTAACATCTCATGGTAGCCCACAAAAATATCAGCCAATGCAGGGCCAAGGGGACTGCCCATCTGGACCCCATCCACTTGACTATATATAATATTGTCAAAACTGAACTCCACCGAACTGGTACATATTATCATAAGTTCTATAAATATATCCTTAGGAAAAGGAGGTGGAGCAATGTTACCTTCGTATAAAAAGTCTGCACAGATATTAATAGTTTCCTTTAATGGTACGTTGGTAAACAGACTAGACACATCAAAAGAACACATAAAATCAGTATCAGGGCAAGTCTGTATGGCCTGTAAGGGTTCAACAAACGTGAACGAATCAGGTATACAATGTTTAGCAAAAAATGTTTGGACCGGTCCCTCGCTAATTTATTTACACGTTTATTTCCCCTCCCCTCGTTACAAATATATACACTTGTTTGTTTTTTTTTTTAGTGTGTTTTCCCCCTCTTTTTGCTCTTCATTGTCGTTAATATTCTTTTCGTTGATCCAACGATTGTTTCCTGATGAGATGTTGGTTGAAAGGGCCTTAGGGACTTTTTAAAATTAAAATCAATACATTCCTTGTTTTTAAAACTATATACATATATATATATATATATATATATATATATATATATATATATATATATATATATATATATAGACAGATACTGAAGGATCTGTACGTACCCGATACAGCGAAAATATGGAGACCGATTGAAAAATATAGACACACACACGCACGCACACACACACACACACACACACACACACATATATATATATATATATATATATATATATATATATATATATATATATGTATAAAGAAGAGGTTATAGTAGTTCCAATGAGAGAAAAGTGTGTATATATTTAAAAGAAGTGAGAAACGTTTTTGGTTGTAATGTGGATGTTTTTTTTTTAAATATTATGGTTTATTTTAAATAATTTTGCTACACGAGTTTCCAGTCTCGCAACCTGTCATCAGGCAAAGGGTGATGATTTCCACATATTAAAAATAATTTATTTTTTCCTCATGTTTTTCGATGCTAAATATTCTCTATATAAGACATTGTTTTTTTTATATTAGTGATCCAAACATCTTTCTTGAAATGGGTGTGAAAGTTCTGCGTGAGGGGTTATAAAAACAGTTGAGTTTGTTTCGAGAAATGATGTAGCATGCTCATCTTTTAATGACTCCTGTGTGTTCTTAGATCGATTTCCATTTTCGTGTACATTTGTCATCTTGTATATAAGTGTATATCTTCTCTCCTATATATTGAT